GAGATATGAGGGATAGAAACAGCAGTGGCTTGCTTTGCTATCTTCTGCCCACCATGAACTGCTTCTCCCCTGCCATGCCTATCTGCCCCCAACCTAGCCTTGGAACCAGCTGATTATGGACTGAAACTTCTACAAACTATGAGCTAAATAAACCTTTCCTCTGTTAATTTTGGATAGCAGGTATTTTGTCCCAGCAATGAGAAAAGTAAATAAGACAGTACCTAAATCATTTGGGTGTTGTGAATTCTAAATAAAACTTAAATGAAATTAAAATAGTGGTCAATAGCTAGAAAGACTTCATTAACTTCTATCTTTTAGTATTTAAAATAAGTTTGGAGTCTACAGTGTGGATGATAAAGAACTTGGTTTTTAGAGATAAGTAACACAGTACTACCTTGATAAAATGAAAGATTTGCTCTGTCTCTTACCACAAGCTCTTAACACTATCATGCAGTTGTATTCTGCAGGGAACCATAATCATATCTGTGATTTACAAGGTACCAACTTACGTATGCCATTAGGTACTGTGATTATTGCTATTTTATGGATAAAAAACTGAGATTCAGAATAGCTGTCTAAACAACTAGTAAGTTGCAGTTTATTATTTGAACCCAGCTAGACTAGAGACTGAGTTCTCAACTAGTGCAGTTGACCACATGTTATGATTTAGATCTAAAATGTCCCCCCAAAGTGTCATGTGTTCAGAAGTGGGGTTTTTAGAAGATGATTGGATCATGGAAGCACTATACTCCTCAGTGGATTAGTCCGTCCATGAGTTCATGTGATGTTAGGAGCTGAGGCCTGATTGGTGGGGTAGGTCACTGGGTGGGGGTGTAATTTGCAAGGCTGTGCTCTTGTCTCTGACCCCTTCCTGGATGCCATGGGGTGAGCAGCTGTCCTTGCACATGCCTTTCCTCCACGCCATTTCTGCGTTAGAGTCAAACATCTATGGCCTGAACCTAGTGAAACTGTAAGCCAAGTAAACCATGGGCATTGAGTATTCTGGTTCCAGAAACTGGAAAGCTAACGAGTACAGCATAATTCAGAGGTTTCGGCATCTTTAAAAACTGTAGCTATGTGGGAATTAAACTAAAGGGAGGAACAGTGAATGACTCAAAGACAGGATGTTTTTCATAAAAAGGACTATTAGTACTGAAACAAAATAAAGAAGATAATTTAAAATGTGAAAATGGGCTCCAATAATACTTTCTGAGATGAGAAACTTGAACTACACACCTGCAATAATGAGCTTCCACTAGTTTAGTTATGATAGCTCTATTAAAGCTATATAGCAGGGTAGAAACCTCGATGTTAGGAATCAGGCCAGATTCTAGCAGTTCTTGTCACTATCTAGTTAAGTGAAATTAATTAGACAAGTAAAAGTCTAGGCCCTCCTTTTCAAGAAATGGCATTCATGTTGCTAGGAAAAGCACTGTAAGAAGAAAAAGGATAAATGCTTTCTTGTCACAAGACAAACATTAGCATCAAGAATTTATTGAATACATCACTTTTTAAAAAGTACAAAGTAAACTGAAAATTGGGAAGGACAATGTTGATTTATTTCATCAAGTCTAAGTTATGTTTTTAGAGAAGACTGAGAACAATACTCCTAAAATTATGAAGAACAGTCATAGGAACTGGCCAAACAAGCTTACCTATATGGTTCATACGTGTGTGTTTGTGTGTGTGTGTGTGTGTGTGTGTGTGTGTACCTATGTGTGTGTGTACAGGTGAGCTGAGATATGTAGGAATTTTAACAGCTTTTTAAATTGCCCTATTCCAACAGAGCTATCCTTAAATAGAGCCAGCTTTTGGTTCAAGTTAATTTAATTCGACTTATGTTTATAGAATACCCCCAAAGACAATCTACCCTCGACCTAAGGAAGCCTTCAGGACAATGGTTTGTAAGGTTCTTCTGAGAACTGAGAGTTGATGGCATTTGGTGTTCTGGGTGGGAAGCAGAAACTAGGTTTTAAACAGGAAGATGTTTTATGTAGAATTTCTGATAAATGGACATAAAAGAGTTCAAAGAAGAAAGGGACCTGAATTTCCACAGCTCAAGTAGTCTGCTGTGATTTCTTTTTGCATTCTAATACTGAGTCTTTCAACCAAACTTTGTATCTATAATACTATACCAAAACACACTCTCTTCAATTATGTAAGCGTCAGATCCAAATTCCAGTATTTTCTGTGCTATGTGTTATGTCCTGAACTAATGGAGATACAGAAAGAAGCTGTTCTGTGCAAGAGTGAAGAATTAGGCAAAGTCCAAAATTAATTGGTAATCCAGTGATAGAAACGGTGTGAAAGGAACATATAGAGGTTACTGAGGCTTGATCCCCAGCAAAGAAAGGAAAGAATGAGACACTAGTGATATTAATTTTTCATAGAACCCTTACCTTCTGAGGGATGCCAGCCTGAAAAAACAAAAACAGAGTTGAGGAAATCTGAACCCCTGTGAAACAGCCCAGGACTTAGAGTTTATTCACTAGTTGCCTTTCAAATATTTCAGACTACAACCTGCAGTGTAACAGACAGCGGTGTTCACAAATATACTACTTCCTCCCCTGCAATTCTCCCCCACATTTCTCAGCCTCCCTGGCAATTGAGTTGGAAGTACGTGTGTATTCTGGTCAACAGTCCACAAGAGAAAGTGACTGTGCTGTTTCTGTTTCAAGGTTCCTAGTGCTGGTTAAAAGCTAATGTAAGGGGCTGGGGATTTAGCTCAGCGGCACAGCGCCTGCCTGGCAAGTGCGAGGTCATGAGTTCAATTCCCAGTACCGGGGAAAAAAAATTTAAAAAATAAAAAAGTTAATGTAAGTCTTCTGTGCTTTTTTGAGAGATATTTTAAGCTAGAGGCAAAGAACATTGAGATAGAGTAGTAGGAAGGCTGAAGCATGCTGAATCCTTGAAGGTCTGGAGGGCAACCACAAAAGAGAGTGAGCAGACTTCATGAGATTTTCCGTAAGTGACAGATAAAATATTTAAATTTTTAAGAATAAATATATATCCAGCCAGCCATGGTGGCACATGCCTGTAATCCCAGCAATTAGGAGTTCAAGGCAGGAGGATTGCCCTGAGTTCAAGGCCAATCTGAGCTACATAGCTAGCCCCTGCCTCAAAGAACAAAACAAGACAAAAATTAATACATGTTCACCACATATAAGGTTTACAGTCATTCCATAATGGAGTACTACTCGGCCATAAAGGAGGATAAATTTAAGTTATTTGTAGGAAAATGAATGTACCTTGAGACCATAATATTAAATAAAACACATCAGATACACAAGCTCAAATATCACTTAACATCCCTTATATGAGAAATACAAAGTATAAATAATTTCAGAAAACAGAATAAAACATTGACAATTTCAAAAAACAAAATAAAAGATTGATAGTAGGAAACAGGGAGATAGATGTAAATGGGAAGGAGAACTAGAGATGAGGGACGCAAGTGGGAGGGAAGAGGAATAAAAATAACGAAGATATACTGAGTACATGTACTGTTACATCAAGCTAGTAAGCAGGTAGTTAGACATTAATGGGCCTGGGAGATTGGGAGATAAAGACAGGGGGAGTCCAAAATAGCATCCTGTTCCCCTTACACTTAAATGAAGAAACAAAACCCCCAGTATATAATACATTACAATCATTTATTAGGTTTCAGGCCCAGATAACAACCACACAGCGCACAAATGGCATTGTAAGGTTATATATTATGCACTTTCACTCTGATACCAGGCATTCTAGTTCCAAAACAAGTCATATAGCATTCCTGGCTGCTACAGCCCATGCCCAGTGGTAACCGAAAGGGGAACATTCTGTAAGGATCTTCCCTTGATGGACTAAGACCTAATTTAATTAGAATTCATCTACTGTTAGTGTCTTACACAAGATTTTTAAAATATGATTAGGGCCCCTAAGGGAACACTGAGCATCCGAAGAAGAACAAGGAAGACATTCTTTTAGGGTCTTTTTTTGAGACAGGGTTTCAATATGCTGTTCAGGGTGGCCTTGAACTCACTTTGTAGCCCAGGTTGGCCTTGAACTTGCAGCAGCCCTCCTACCTCAGCCTCCCAAGTGCTGGGATTACAGGTGTGCACCACCACAACTGGCCTAAGGAAAACAGTTTTGAGTTATCAACACTTCAAAGTAACCTCTAAGAAAAATGCCCATAAGCATCACAATCACCAAAGTTCCCTGAAGCCCAGAAGAAACTCTGTGTGCCTAAAAAGATATCCACACTTGGGTGCAGATGCCTGAAGGCATAAATCTCTGTACTTGGTTTACAATAAGCTCTACCTATACTTGTGCATGACTGCCTATCTTTTTTTTTTTTTTTTTTTTTTTTTTTGGTCTTTTTGAGACAGCGTTTCACTATGCAGTTCAAGCTGGCCTTAAACTCACTTTATTGCCCAAGCTGTCCTTGAACTTGCAGCGATCCTCCTGTCTCAGCCTCCCAAGTGCTGGGATTACAGGTGTACACCACCATTCCCAGCTGCCCATGTAGCCTGACTGAAGTCTTTCATCAAATGTACAAAGAACCAAGGAGTGGTAGGCTGGTGACAAAGCTACCAATATTGGAGGAGAGAGTGGGCATGCGTTATCACAATTCAGCCTAGTCTAACTCATCTAAATTAATACACATAGTAATAAATGCATTTCACATCTTGACTAGGTGCATGTATATACAACTGAATCAAATTTTAAAATATACCATTGCTAGCTGGATGTGGTGGTGTGCGCCTGTAGTCCCAGCACTTGGGAGGCTGGGGTAGGAGGATCACTGCAAGTTCAAGGCCAGCCTAAACTACATAGTGAGAGACCCTGTCTCAAAAAAGCAAAACCAAACAAACCAACAAAATACATATAGTTATGGATATATATATATATTTTGGTATTTCTAATATAACTAATATTTTCTGTTCTATTTCACTTAGGAAAATTGTTGTCATACTCAATTTTACTACACCTTAATTGGTCTCCACCCACAAGGGAAAGACTGTTCTAAATTCCCTCAGAACTCTGATCGTCCATGAACAACTTCCAGGTATGGCCAATCATTTAGAAAACAAAGCTTTAAAGGCAATGTTACAATAATACAAATGGTAAATACAGAAACATTATTTTATCTTGTAAACGGCTTTCATTTTTTTCAATGCTTCAATCTGGGACATGTATGTATAATACGTTGTTAGATATCATGCAACATTAGTGGTTCCGTGGCATTAAAACACGGCTGCACTTTCTCACTGTAAGAGACACCTGTATCCCAGCACTCTTGAGAGGCTGAGGCAAGAGGATCACAAGTTCCAGCCCAGCCTGCGCAATTTAGGGGCTCTGCGAGACACTTCTTCAAAGGTAAAAAACTAAAAAGGGTTGGGGGATGTAGCTTAATATGTTAGGACCTGCGTTCAGTCCCCAGTACTGGACAGCGAGGGTGGAGAGTGGGGGGACTGACGCACTGTGAAGCCACAATCACCCTCAATTCTTTCCAACTTCAGGAATAAGTAGTCACAAGCTCTTACACTTTCTTAGAATGCTAAAGTGCTGGACAGTGGGATGACAAGACCCCAACCTGGGCCACTTCTTAATACAGTGGATCCAGCGGTGAACACCAAAGATCAAGCAGCTTGGGCTAGAAGCAGAAATCGGCCAGAAGCTCTCGCGGGAAGCCCTGTCCGTTACCGCCACCCCCACCCGGCGCGAGCCTTCGTGAGCACTAGTTCCGGTGCCCGGCTTTAACACTCCCACCACCAAAGCGTACACTTGCGGCTCTCTGCGATACTGCTGGGCGGGCCGGAACTTTCGTCTGTAGGAACGGGTTTACACAGTCGCATGTTGCCAGCCGGCGTCAAGGAGAACAGTGCCACCGTCTTCCTCTCGCCGTCGCCGCCGCGGAGCAGAGCTTAGCTGATCAGATCCAGGAGCGCGGTTACCCGACGGGCTGGGTCTATGGTCGCTCCGCGGCCCGCTCCGCCGGCTGGTGCTTTTTTATCAGGGCGCGCTGTGCTCCATGGCAGGGAACTTTTGGCAGAGCTCCCACTAGTAAGTGATCTTCTGTCCTGGCGGCGCGGGCCGGTGCTTGGCGGGGCGGCGGTGAGGACAGGGCCTGCGGGTCCCCGCGGGCCTGGATCCCAGCTCGGGTCCGAGAGATCCCGAAGCAGCAGAACCGGAAATGAAGCGGGCTTTTCGGAGGCGACTCCGGTGTCCGGCCGAGCGAGCTTTGGGGGCGGGGTGGCGGTGAAGGTGAAGCAGGGTGGGGGAAGGGGAGTAGTCTCCGGGAAGGCAGACTGAGGGGTTGGATTCGGGTTCCCGGGTTCGCTCGCCCGGGGGCTGCGGGTGGGAGGCGAGCACGCACCGGCGAAGCGCGTCTCGGTTGAGGGCCGTGAGGCTGCCTGTTAGGACGGTCGCGGCTTGCTTTTGCCTGGAGTTTGTTCAGGGGAACAGCGCTGTTTTCTTTTGTCGATCGCCTTCTGCCGTGAGTGGGTTGCGTATTCCAGGCTTCTTTCTGCTCGAGAGCCGCTTCCGGCCACCACTGTATGCCTAGGTGAAGTTTCGCGTTGATAAGGATAGCGCTTCTGCGCTCAGAATTAGTCATTTTATTAGCTCGTGTCTTGTGTTTTGTTTTGAACGCATTTCCTAGTGATTTTGCCTGTTGCTTCAACCTTTTCCCTGCATAAGTTTCTGTTTCTGTCAGTGACGGAGAAACAGCCGCTGTGATACTAAGAACATCTCTGTATTTACATGAGGAAGGTGTGGTGTGATGGGGTTAAACACTGACGAGGCTTCCTACTGTATGGTTGAAGGATGAACGAACTTGATGAAGATAATTTTAGTGTGAAAATTTAATGGTAAAAGCGCTAATATCATTTAAATTTTTATTCTGTGAATAGGATTGGTGTCTGTTCATTTTTTTCCCCACCGTTTGCATCAAGAGGAAAAGTAACAGTACACTTGGAGACCAGTTTTTCTAAAGGCTTGTTTTCCACTTGCTATAAAGTGATTCTGTGGAGATGAAGTGCTATAAATGCTTTACTGCTGATCATCTCATTTTTTGTTCTTCATTGTTCGTACTGAAAAATTTCCTTGGGCAGAGTTAAAACAGAAATTTAAGTAGTGGAAAGATGGATAAACTTTAAACGGAACTAAGACATCTGACAGGTAGCCAGTCGTTTGTCAGTTTTTCAGCTTTAAAAAAAGAAAGTTCTTTTAATACGCATTTTTATTATGCTTTCATTTACTGATGGCACTATAATTTATTTATTTATTTATTTATTTATTTATTTTTAGGCAGGGTCCTTCTATGTAATTCAGGCTGACCTTGAACTCATTGTGTAGCGCAGGCGGACCTCAAGCAAATCCTTCTGCCTCTGCCTCTGCCTCTGCCTCTGCCTCTGCCTCAGCTGTATTTCATGCCTGTGAGATGCACATTTTCTTTTTTGTTGGTTTTTCTTTTTTTTCCGGCACCCGGAATCGAACTCACGAAGTCGCACATGCCAGGCAGGCGCTGTGCCTCTGAGCTAAATCCCCAGCCCACGGAGATGCACATTTTCTTATACTGGGGATATGGCAGTTTTTTCACAGTGACACATGAAAATAACGGTGAATCTTACACTTCATGTTAAAATTGCTAAGATGTAGCATTTTTAAGTCTTGGTTTTGCCTTCATATAAAATACTGAGCAAAACTGGAAACATTTGTGAAATTTATCTTTAAAAAATAAAATGACTGTGGAGATGAAAGTATTGAGCAAAATCACAGCACTTTCGATTTTAGAAAATTTAAGTAGAACAAAACACATCCTCTGACTGAAATGCAATAAAACCAGAAGGGCACTAAGTATTTTCCAGTAAATTGGTAAATTAATGAACAGGTAACAAAAATGAAAACCCATTAGAAAAATGGTTATTTTTGATTAACAGTGTACAGAGGAATTGTATTTGGCCCATCAAGGCCTGGGGAGATGTTTGACCTCATAAGTAAACTTCAGAGGAAAAGGCAGTGGTGATACATTACTTTGCCTTTAAGTTTTAAAGTATTTGAAGGATTGAGTATAACCCTAAATATGATAAAACAAATGAACTGTTAATAGGAATGGAAACCGAGGTGACCATTTTGGAGGGCAAACTGACAAATTACATTAAAATTAGCACCAAAGTTGATCCATTAGTTCTGCTTTTAGAAAATTATTTACAATATATTATTATTTAACATGACTGGAATTTGTGAATGAGAAAAATTAAATAACCTCCTTATTCATGAACAATTGAGAATATACTTCATCAATCTAAGCCACCATCAGTTGATGCTAAGTATTTTTACCATTTGATGTATCACAAAAAAATAAGCATGTTGTTAATTAAAATGCTAAAACATTGCTTTGTTTTCTGCCAATAAGTACTTTAATGACAACCAAGTTCTGTGACATAAATTCCAGTAACTGTCCCAGATCTGGGGCAAACCACCTGCATTTACCCCACATTTGGAAAGCAGGCCATTCGAGCGTTAGCCGTCAGTATCCATCTTCACAGAAGGTACCAATCTGGCATCGGAGGTGCAATGTTAACACTTCCTCTCAGGGAAAGGTTAGTATGGTAACACAAATGCGTGAGCACAGCTGAACCATCCTCTTGTTCTATCAGGACCTGGGAGACCACCGGTTCGGCAAACACAACTTTGTCAAAATACATTAGAGCACCAAAAAAGGGTAAAAAAAATAGTAGAAAAGTTGGTAGAGCTGGGCTCTCATATATCCAGTTCTTAGATTTGAAGCCTTTCAAACTAGTTGTATGTAATAAAAAAATGATGTTCCAGGGTCCAGGTAAAAGTTAGTTTGATCAAAATCCTTTATAGAGTGCAAAAAAGCCCTCATGTTTCCACATCTTTAAAATGCCCTTATAGAGGTCCACATGTCCTACAATTGCCTTCTGGTTCATCATGAGAATTCATACAACATCAACTGAATTGGATGCCAGAGTCCTGATCAAACTGAATATAAAGCTGGAAACAAAGTGAACCAAAGTTGTGTCACCTACCATTCCTGACAATGTTAGGTTCTTCTTGGTAATATCATAGATTGGTAGCTGTACTCTTACAATACGACCACACCTCTCCACAGACTCCTGGTGTCCTTTTATTGGTTTATATCAATGAAGCTGCTAACCATACACCCTTGGAACAAGCTACCTTGCGCCTGCATTCAAATCTTTAGAACATTGGTAGGGTTGGCTATAATGGAGAACACCACTCCTGATGGTACCCCACAAATCATATTAATTTAAAGAATTTCATCAAAAGGTTCTCCAGGTGTTCCCAACCATCCAACAGCCCCAGGCCTTCTAAACATTCTACAGATAGTCACTTCAAGCTTTGGTAAATCCCATTTTTAATGGTACCATATGCTGTTTGTCTTAGTAAAGCAGAAGCAATACCTGAATGTAAAGCCAACCCACCTTCTTTACAGATTTGGAACAAGGCATGGATCATTCCTGTATATTTTATCTCTTTGAAACAAATATCAGTGCTTTGCCCTCGTACTTGAAGTGGTCTTTGGGTAAGTTCCACAGGAAAAGTTCCAAACTCAGCAACAGGAGCCAGCACGGTGACACATGCCTGTAATCCCAGCTTTTGGGAAGCTGAGCCAGGAAGATCACCATGAGTTCCAAGGCCAGCCTGAGCTACACAGTGAATTCAAGGCCAACTTGAACTACCTAGTGAGACCCTGTCCTTCCCCCCGCCCCCGGACAAAAAAAAAATGAGCACACAAACTCAGCAATAATATATACAAGGCCTCGCTGGGTATGGTGGCACACACCTGTAATCCCAGCATTTGGGAGGCTTAGGCAGGAGGATTGCTGTGAATTCAAGGCCAACCTGAGCTGCATAGTGAAACCCTGTCTCAAAAAGGAAAAAAAAAAAAAATAGACTCTAGGGTGTCATATTCAAAAGGTTTCTTGCTGGGCATGGTGGCACACACCTGTCATCCCAGCATCTGGGAGGCTGAGGAAGGAAGAATCATTGTGAGTTCAAGACCAGCCTGAGCTATAAAGTGAGCTCAAGGTCAGCCTGAACTGCATGGCGAGACCCTGTCTCAAAAAGACAAAAAATTTTAAAAATAAAAATAAAAAAGTTTTTAAAAATTCAAAAGGTTTCTAATTCAGACTAAATATCTCATACCTTAAGTGGCACTTTCCTGATACTGTTCGGGCTCTTCAGATGACTCAAACATTGCTGATTTTAATATGCATCTTCATATTAGAGTGTTAGAATTAATCCAATATAATACAGTAGAAAGAGATTAGGAAGAGTGAAAAAATTAGAGGATAACTTTTTCAGTGCATATTTATGATTGTTAGTGAGATAATTCTTAATAATTTGCTTTTTCAGAAACATGAGAAATATTGTCTTTCAGGTTACTTGGCACTTTGTAGTTCTCAGAATATGAACAGACTGTTTAATCTGAGTGTTTTCTGTGACTTTGCTTATTGATTTTTGTATCAAGCACCTCCTAACATCTTTTCTTCTTCTAGTTTGCAGTGGATTTTGGATAAACAAGATCTGTTGAAAGAGCGCCAAAAGGATTTAAAGTTTCTCTCAGAAGAAGAATATTGGAAATTACAGATATTTTTTACAAATGGTAATTTTTTAAAATTTGTTAAAGTGGTATAGTTGGTTACCCTTGAATGAGAATGATTTTGTATGATAATATTTGATGAACTATTATAGTCTATCCTTATTTTTTTTATTTAAAGAGAAAAAACTCAAACTTTTAAAACAAGATAGTAGGAAGGTAACAATGGTTAATACATTGCATAACTAGCTTAAAATTAGTTACTCATAATACAAGATAATCAGCAATTACTGTCCAAACAATATTAGCAGAAACCTTTCTTTTCAGTGTATTAAAAGAAATTAGTAGTATAACCATCTTTTCTTTTTGTATAACCATCATAACTGTCATATATATATATATATATATATATATTTTTTTTTTTTTTTTTTTGCTTTTCCCTTCTTCATTCTTCCATCCCAGCTTCTCTTTCCTTTTGAAGTTTCTTCTCATTTTACAATGTCTATTGTACATTTTGGATTTTATTTACTCTTTCAGCTTCTCACACTAGGGAGACAATACAATGTTTACACATGTGCATTTGGTTTATTTTACTTATGAGTATGATCTCGACTTGCATCCATTTACCTATAAAAGTCTCCAGTTTATACTTTTTTACAGCTGAGTAGTACTCAATTGTATAAAAATACTACCTTTTTTATCCATTCCTTAGTTGATGGGTATTTGGGTTATTTCCAAGATCTAGCTATTACAAATTGTACTGCCAACATCGGTGCATATATAGTGCTGTGACACGATGTTTTTAACTCCTCTGGGAAGATACCTAGCAGGAGAATAGCTGGGTCAAATGGGACCTCCAATCCTAGTTTTTTAAGGAATCTCCACATTGATTTCCACAGTGGTTGTACCGGTCTGCACCCCCACCAACAGTGGGAAAGGGTTCCTTTTTTCTCCCGCAGCCCCTCCAGCCTTTGTTATTGGTGGATTTCTTGATAATAGCCATTCTTTCCAAGGTGAGATGGAATCTCATTGTTGATTTAATTTGCATCTCTCAAATGACCAGTGATGTTGAACATTTTTTCTTTTTTTTTTTTTTTTTTTTTTTTT